CCCCTCCCTCTCCCCAGGCTCACCCCCAGCCCTACCATAAGCTCCAGCTCCAACCCTCACCAAAAGTAGCAGCAGGAAGGAGAATCTTTATACAGTTTTTTATAATGAAAGTATGACTCTAATTATTTACAACACATAGGAAAGCCAAGGTTTGTCCAGGAGAGCCATCCTGGGGGCAGCACGGACACTCATCCCCTTCCCAAAATGGGATCTGTTGTTCCAAAACTGCTCAGTACCTTGGCCCAGGGCTCAGGACCATCCCAGGGTCACTGCTCTGCACAGCAGTTCTCTCTGCACCAGCCCATGGGGCAGGTAATGTCCATACACAGTCCAACCACTCATTCCTGGGTTCCCACGTGGAGGTGGGAGCTGCTGCCCCTTGGAAAACCACCTTGGAAGCTGCTGGTTGTGGGTGGAGTCAAGAGGATGAGGGAAGAGATGGGAAGAACCTCAGGAGGAGGAATTCTGTCCGAGTGCTGAGTGGGACTGAGTCCATGGGTGACTGGAAAGACGTACCAGAGCTACAGTGCCAAGTCCACCTGGGGCAAGATGGACCTATCCAACACCCTGAGCATCCCCTGCCCCACAGCTGGCTGGGATGAGAAGTCTTGGGGTTAGTAAAACCACATTCCAAAGGAAATCCAAGTGCTGAGTTATGGGAGAGGCTTGCAGTAAAAAAAAAAAAATAAAAAAAATAATCAGAGTTGATACTCAAGTGTTCCACAACTCCTGGAGGTTCTTTGCCTCTGGTGAGAGTCCAAAGTGGAAGGTGGATCACTGTTAGCTCTGTAGGACTGTGACCAGGCTGACAATGCAAACCCCAGGAGCAGAGTGGAGTCTGGCACTGACTCTGTCCTTCAAGTTATCTTGACCAAGAGGATTCCTTGGTTCCTCCTTACAACACTTCTCCCTTGCACAAGGGACTATCCCTGCCAAGCTGCTATTTCATCCAACATTCCTTTTTAATTGCCAAATACACTGCTGAAATAAGGATTTTCAAAAACAATGGAGCCCTTCCAGGGGGAAAATTGCCTTCTGCAAATGTAAAAACATCACATCTTGGCCAAGTTCAGTCTGGAATATACATGCAATTATTGCTAGAGTGGAGGAGGGGGAAAAATAAACACAGATGAATGAAACCTCTTCTGCAGCTTTTATGGTGCCATCCAGAATGGCATCTGTTGCTTAGCTCTTTGTTGGGAGGAAGGGTACTGGTACCCCAAACTCCAGCCCTGTGGAAAGGTACTTGCGTTTTTGTGGCCACCGTGTTCTTCCTCTTCATCTGATGAATCTCCTGCATAAGCCACTAGGCCAAATCCCTTCTCTGCTGTCTTCATCTTCTTGGCTTGATGATCTAAGAGGGGGGGAAACAAAACAACCCACCCCCAGCCCCCCAAGAAGGAAAAATAACCACAACAACAACAAAAAGATAAAATGCCCCAAAAATGAGTTAATAATAATAATAATTAAATAATAAAAAAAAGATGTTAATTGCAAATGGTTAGTTGGACACCATTTTGAGGTCACAAGGCCAATGGTCATCCAAGGTCGAAGGGCACAGGGAACAGCAGCAGCACCAGCCATGTGATCCATCAGAACCATGGAAGAGAGCAGAGAAACAAGAAAGAAAACACACAGAAAAGGTCAAGTTAGCAAATGGCTCTCAGGGATGGTAAATTCACCCTTAAAGAGATCAATTTGACAAGAAAAGTAGGGATTTGGGTCAAAAGGAAGCTAACAAGAGAGCAAAATCTCTGGGAGCAAGACTGCAGAGAAACTAAGGTTAAACAGACTATGGGATGTACTTGCAGAGCTGAGAGCACTGAACTACACAGAGAGGCAATGATTCTATGCCTGACCAAGTTCAGACACTGCTGAGGGACAGCCCTGAGACAGGATGAGATCTGACAGTGCTGGTGGTGCTGGCAGATGTAGTTCCTGGGTGTAAATCCACACCTGAACACAACTCCTACTGATACTCCTCAGGGCCTGAGCTCAACTCCCAGGGACACTCCTCAGGGCCTGAGCTCAATTCCCAGGGACACTCCTCAGGGCCTGAGCTCAATTCCCAGGGACACTCCTCAGTGTCCCTGAGGCAGCTGCTCACACACAAAGCCACGTGGAATCCGTGTCACAGACCAATCCTACCACATTCTGGTGGGTCAAAACCTCCTGTGTTTAGTCCCTCACTCAGTTACTCTCCCCTCACTCTTACAGATACTTAGCAAAGCTCTGAGCAGCCTCCTGTGTGCATAATCACAGCAAATATCAGTAATTTTAGGGCAGTGCAATGTCACCGGCCTTGCACTTCCACAATGACGTATAAAGAACAGCCAAAACCAAAAGTCACCAGTTTAAACACATGTCAAACCCAGCAGCAACTCATTTGGGAGAGGAAATTGGACTTCCAAGGGTATTTGAGTCATTGCACTCACCATGGTTGCCTGGTAAAGACCCCACACCTTTTCTTTCTTCCGAGTCTGATTTCATCCCAGTGACAGGAAAAGCTGGTGGAGGCATCAACTGCCTGTTTAAAGCAAAGCAAACCCTTATTTCTGCCTTTTTCAACCAAGCAAAGAGTCAAAGGTAACAGAAATCAGATTCCTGACTCAGCCCAGGACCTGAGTTAAGCTCTTAACTCCCTGACTCAACCAGACCTGCTGGCATGGAGTGAGTGTATCCTTGGGTCAGAGTGACTGAAGGTCCTACCTGAGTTCTGGAAGGCCTTCAGTGTCCTCCCCCAACACTCAAATGGGACAGGAAAGGATGGGATGGACTGTTAGAGGGGGGAGGAATTGGCTAGATGGCCACGTCCAAGTGGAAACCAGTAACAACTGGTATCCCTGAGGGTCTGTGCTGGGACCAGCACTACTCAGTGGGACTGAGGGTCCTTTGGGAGGGCTGGAGATGACACTGGGCTGAGTGGGACAGTGTAGAGGGAAGGGATGGCACCCAGAGGCTGGAAGAACAGGCCCAGGTGAGCCTCAAAACACCAAAAACCCAGAAGCCTCAGAAACCCTCAAACACAAAACTCCAAAGCCCCAAACCTACCAAAACCCCTCAAACCTACCAAAAATCCCAAACACAAAAACGCATTAAAAAAACCAAACAACCCAAATCACAAAAAAACCCCAAGGCCCTCAAAAAAACCCCCAGACCCTCAAAACCCCTAAACCCCTAAAAACCTGTAAAACACCAAAAACCTCAACCTCCCAACCCACCAAAAAAACCCCAAATCCCCCCAAAACCTACCACTCCCCAAACCACAACCACCCCTCGAGTCACAGACTCCCACTGAAACAAGCTACCATGAAAGCAGCTCCCCTTGCTCCCCTGAGAATCCCTGACCCCTCCAGACTCTCCCCAATCCCACTCACCTGTCCCTCTCCCTCTCCTTTCCCGAGGGACCGGCTGCCTTCGGCCCTGCCCCCTGCGCGCCGCCCGGCCCGGAGAAGCCTGTACCTAAATTAGTCATATGAATGGGTCCATGCTATGAGCAGAAAAACACACGGCATTAGCACATCTCCCACTACACCAGCGGCCTCAGCTCCTTACTGACACTGCCAGGAATCCCAACCTTCCACAGCACATTGCCAACTAGCAGAAGAAATGGCTATTCACTGGGAAAAAATGCTTTGCCCCTAAGGGTGCTGAGGGTAGAGTGGGAGCAAAGAGGTCTGAGCAGCACTAAGAGAGACATCTCAGCACCTACTCCACCTTTGCAGGGCACTAAAGGTTAACTGCTGTGTTCAAGGATCACCTACACCTCCCTCAGTCAGCTCATTCCTCAGTCAGCTAAAATTAGCTCTAACACCCAGGCAGTTCCTCATTGCCTCTAGGCCAAGCTTTACTGAAGGTTCTGCCTGGGACAGAAACATTTTCAGACACTCCCTTTTCTCTGTCTTAAAAATCATCTGCTTAACATTTGCTAGCTAAAAAAGAAATAGAAATCAGCTTTGAAAACTAAGTTTCTTGACATCCTCTCAAGTGTAACCTGCAAGAAACGGAAATGGGAGAATCTGGATGTTATCACCATGTTTTCCTCCCACCCCTCAAAGAAAAGAGTCATTAAACCCCCAATAAATCCCCAGATAATGTCTCTTTAAGCTAAGCAGCTCCACACGGTTGTGATCTCTTTGACCTGAATGCACTGATGTCTTCGGGAAAGGCTGAGAGGGGTGGAAAGCAGCTGGAATGAATCAAGTCACAGCTGGAGCTCAGTGCATCCACTCAAAGACAACCAAGTGTGATCCCTGTGCTTGGGAGCAACTCCTGCCCTCTGCCACAGGCCCTGGCCAACTGCTGCCAACTGCACTGTGCTAACAACCATCTCTGTCCAACCCAGTTGTGGGGAAATGAGGTAAAATTGCTGATTTTATTCCACCTGGTATCCCAGCAGTCCTGACTCTCTCTCATCTGGGAGCTCCTCGGTGAAGCGTCGCTTTTGGCCCTGGGGATGGGCTTGGACCTGTGGCTGTGTACCAGTGGGCAGAGTGGTTTTGACTGGGGCAGCAGGAAGGAAAGGAGCACTCAGAGGACTCTGCCAGGCACAAGGTGGAGACAAAACACAAGAAGAGTTGATACTGTGAGTATCAATCGATGAGTATTGACTTAATCAGACACAGGAGCAGAACACTAGTTGTTCTTTGCAGGCTGTAAGAGAAGCTGAATCAAAAATCACAGCTTAAAGATCAGAGTCACTGAGATTGGAAAAGACCTTTGAGGTCATCAAGTCCAACCTATGACCCAACACCACCTTGTCTACTAGACCATGGTTATTCTTCTCAGAAATGAGTCACCAACCCCTCTGCAAAAGCCTTTTAAGTCCACAGGGGCTATGAAAAATACAGTATGGAGCAGCCACATAACTACTTAGCTGCTCTGAGAAGGAAAAAGCAGCAAAGAAACACCCCAGAAAACATCCTAAAGAAGAACCTTGCACCTGGAACTACTGGAGTATTTCCTTGCTGGCAAAATAAAATAAAAAAAAGAGCTGATGAGGTTGCCAGTGTGGCAGTTACCTGTCCAGTGCTGGCTGGAGGTTGGACCTGAGGTATTGGATACTGGGTGGGAACAGGTGGAACTGCTGCAGGAAGTGTGGGCAGGACTCCAGGGGCCAAGGGCACTGCAGGTGGGACTATGCCTGGGACTGCATAGGGTGGCTGAACAGGCTGCTGAGGAGGAGGAACCACAGGATAGCCAGACTGGTACCCATTGGAAGGGTAATAGGAAGGCTGGGAAGGGACACTGTTGATTGTGGCAGGTTGGGTGAAGCCTGAGGGGAGAGAGAGAGAGAGGGGAAAAGGGTTATCTTAGTGCTGTTAGTCACAGAAATACCCAATTTAATGCCAAAAGTAAAAGAACTCCTAATGTCCATTATTGCTGCCATTTACCTGCCAAGGGAACTGCAGTGGTTATCTGGTTCACAAATCTTGAGTATTCTGCATGAACCTGCAAGGAATGGTCAGAGATTAGACCAAAAAAACATCTATTTACTGTACTAACCTTTATGTAATCCCCACAAATCCATGAGGGAACATTGATGGTAGAACACATTATGCACAAGCCCAGCAATAACCCACACATCAAAGCCCCAGTGAACATTCCCTAATGCTGCTGGACTCTGAGGCTGCTTGGGGTAAAACACAGGATAATCTTTCAGAGGAAAAGAGAGTGGCAAATTAATTATCACAGTGGAGACAAAACACACTAAAAATACTGTGGAGAACTAGCAGAAGGAACTCTAAAAGCTTCCCCATATTATTCAAGAGAGACTTTGTAGCCCACACTCAATTATCAGTGTGAACAGAAAGAATCTCAGAGGACTTTGCTCTATTTGCATCCATAGAAAAAAAGACGAGAAATTAATTTTCTCTGTGTACACAAGAGATTCTTTTTTTTTTTGCCTCACCAATCACTTTCTCTTTCCTAAAGAGACAGTGCAGTTCTGGATATATAAAGCTGGAGCAAGGAGGGAAAAGCAGGATTTCTTTATATTTGCACAGTCAATCCCTGCCCTCAGCCCCAGCTCTGCTCAGGAAGCATTTGCAGTTTTTTCCCTTTGAATTCCACCACAACAGCTCCATCCTGAGAAATGTTTATCCACCGTGTAAGAATCAGACAGCACTAGTGGAAGGAAAACCCCAGGAGCAAGTCAGACAGTTCTGCTGTGAGCATGAAAGACTCCTTAGCCAGACACACAGCACAGCTACAACAGGCTCTGAAATCTCGTTGGAAGAGCTACTCACAGTTTGCAAGAGGTTCTCACACAGCTTTTTAGCAGCTGCCAAACCTTCTGGCTTTGGGTGGCTGAAAACATAAAGACAAAAAAAATATTGCCTAAGTACAAATTTGGGAGCTTCTTTCATCATCAACCTGCTGCCGGGCAGCTCTGCAGGAGTTCAGGACAGTTGTGAACACAACAGAGCAGGAATTTTCTACGTGGAAACTCAAGCTGCTCTAAATGCTGCAAGAATCGAGCTCAGAGCAGTGACTGGAGTTAGTCAGTGCAGGCTGTGCTCTTCCCTCAAAGCTCCACATCACAATCCAAGCCCCAGAGCACAGCTGGGCTGTGTTCCCAATGGTTGGATAGCACTTTGTTATTGGGAAGGAATTCCTCCCTGTGAGGTGCTGAGGCACTGGCACAGGTTGCCCAGAGCAGCTGTGGCTGCTCCATCCCTGGGAGTGCTCCAGGCCAGGTTGGATGAGGCTTGGAGCAACCTGGGCTGGTGGGAGGTGTCCTTGACCCACAGTAGGGGGTGGAGTAATGATCTTTTAAGGCCCCTCCCAACCCAAACTACTCCATGACTGTCTGATTATACCCCATCACCAGATGGTTGACATCTTTATCCTTTTAGAGACACTAAATTACTCAGGTCCCAAAACTATTTCATTGGCATTAAGTGAGTCAGAATTAAGAGTTTGCCACACTGATTAAACCTTAAGCCACATCGATGATGAGCCACTGGGATTATTTATGTCCTTTAAGAACTGTTTCCTACCTGATGTAGATGTACATGGGCTCAAAAGCTTCTCTGCCTGATGCTGGTTCTATGCACCCTGAGCCTTTCCCTCGAAGAAAAACTTTGGCACCTGTTTCAATCTGGATGTGCTGCAAGTAGGAACAACCAGGTCCTTCCACCTTCTCCTTCACGTTAAAGGTAGGAACAGCATGTTCCAGCCCCACAAATAATTTGTCCTGGACATAATGCATCTGTAAAGGAACAGGAAAAGCTTATCCTTCCACTCTAAGGATGAGGATGTTCCTTTCCATGAGGGCACAAAGCTTATTCCTCCAGATAGAGGAAGAACTGAGTGTCTGATGGCACAGTGAGCCCTTTGCTTTGCTGGAAGCAGGACTGGTCTCTCCATCCCTTTGCTTTTAGGAGGTCACTGTCAGCCAAGTCTCACTCTTCAGACTCAGTCTCATTAGTCCTCCAGTTCCCACAGCACACAGGGGGGTGATTTTTTTTGAGATGTGTTCGTGCTTTGCTTGGTTTATTTACAAATAGCACATGACATGGACTTGGCACCAGGTAAATCTTGTAACCAGTGACATTCATGAAGTTCTCAGCAAGGAGTTACTCACCCCTGACTGGAATGGAGGTTTTTGGCCAACAGCTGGAGACATCTGGGTGATGGGAGCTGGCTGGTGGTACACAGTGACCGTAGCTCCATTGAAGGTGGGACTGGAGCCTGTGGCTGCTTTAACCACTCCATTAGTGATTATCTCTTTGATTCTGTTAACAGCTCCTGGGAGACAGAACATGACATTCATTCTTGTTTCAGCCCTTTCAGCCTCTCACATTAACCACACTGGGACATGACTGGGCTAACTCTCCATGTTCTGTGACAGAAGCACAGGCATCACTGGGGCCAAAGATTAGCATCTTGGAATGGGATCAGAGAGGATGGCAACAAGCCATCCCCAGGGAACAGCTGGAGCTGTGTCGGGGGGTTTGGGTTGGATATCAGGACAAGGTTCTTCCCCCAGAGGTGTTTGGGCACTGGGACAGGGTTAGGTTGGGTATCAGGACAAGGTTCTTCTCTCAGAGGGAGTTTGGGCACTGGAACAGCTCCCCAAGGCAGTGATCACAGCCCCAAACCTGACAGAGCTCAAGGAGTGTTCAGCCAATGCAAGAGTTGGACTGGTGATCCCTGTGAGTCCCTTTCAGCTCAGATACTCTATAAAGATTTAGGGTTCCTTCTCCTCTCCCACCCAGACAAAGCTTAGGCTAATGCTTTAAGACCAATGTAGCTCCTGCACCTGGGGAGGAATAACCTTTATCTCCAAGAAGGAGAGAAAAGCAGAATGTTTTGTACTCACTGTCCACCAGTTCCCGTGTCTGTCCCTGGACATGGAGGTACAGAGGACGATCTCTGCAGAGATATCAAATACTCCATTAAACCCACAGACAACACACAGTAATGACTCAATCTCATTCCATTGCAGTCATCAGGTACAGAAAGGTTTCCTAAAGACCTGAAATGCTCTTCAGGTAAGGGAATACAAACTCACTGAACATCCCAGTGCTCAGGCAGCAAAACTCTGCACTGGGAAATGATTCAGGAGTGATTTGTGTTGTCTAATTAATGTCATTCCACTGAACCTTTCCCCTGCTTGTCATTGTGAAAGGTGAGAAATGTGTCTTTGGGAAGTTGCAATGTTCAGTGCAAGCTCAGCACAGTCTGACTTGCCACAGTGGTTGGTTTGAGTAGAATTCCACCCTATCAATATCAGGCAGGTCCCAAAATGATCCTAATGGCAAATATAATGTGTCATATAGATTCCACTACTCATGGAAAACAAGGCAAACAAGCCAAAGCCTCTTACCAGAGCCTCTCAAGGAGAAAAAAAGAACAAAACCCCGAGAAAGAAATACACACCCAGGTCCCACTTTGGCTTTCTCTTCTGCAGTCATGAACCTTCCTCGAGTGGACACAGCTGCTCCGCTCAGGCGACTTATCTGCAAGCAATGTCAACCTCAGTGACACATTGACCAACAACACACACAAAACACCACAGTTTAAGCTCTGTTTTGTACAAGAAGACCAGATAATTCTACCATTAATCCATTAATAAAGTGGTAAGAGATTGAATCTTTATCTCCTCGTACAACTGTTCATTGAGCAAACCAATAAACCACTTAACAGTGTCTTTAGAGAACACAATGAGGTTTTGTAAGAAGAAACAGTCGCTTAATATAGTTGAATCCAAGTTCTTTTCACCTTACAAGACAACCTGAACTTCTGAGTTAATCTTACAGGTACAAATGCCATGACGTTACTTAAACCTCAGAGCCCCAGATGTGCTGCCAAGGCCACCAAAGCCCACATAGGGCTGTGACTTACCTCGTCCTGGGTTTGCCCTCTGGTCAGCAGGTTCCTGCACGTCAGGGGAACATCATTGATCTCCACCTCTGCCACCACGAGGTCATCTTTGCTTTTACTGGCAGCTGGACCTTTCCCAAGAGCCTGCAGCTTCAACGACAAGTGTTGCACAAGAGCAGTGGTTGGAAAGCAGGAGTGATGCAAGATACAAACTGATCCCAGGGCTCTAGAGGTGAATGTCCTTCTCATTCAGCCCCTTCCACAACCTCCTCACAGAATCACAGACTATTCAGACTTGGAAGGGACCTACAAGGACCAAGTCCAACTCTTGGCCCTGCACAGAACATTCTTATTTGTCCTTTCCAGTTGCTGAACACAAAAGCTCTTGAAAACATTAGCAGAAAGCACATTGTATCACCTGTTTAACCTACCTCTTCCCAGTCCTGAGAACTGGGGGTGTTCAGCCTGTGGAAAAGGCTCTGGGGAGACATTAGAGCCCTTTCCAGTGCCTAAAGAGGCTCCAAGAGACCTGGAGAAGGACTTGGGACAAGGGATAGAGGGACAGGACACAAGGGGGAATGGAAGGGGCAACACTAGATGGGATATTGGGGAGAAATTCCTTCCTGTGAGGGTGCTGAGGCACTGGCACAGGGTGCCCAGAGAGGATGTGGCTGCTCTATCCCTGGGAGTGTTCCAGGCCAGGCTGGATGGGGCTTGGAGAGACATTAGATTCCAGTGCCTAAAGAGGCTCCAAGAGACCTGGAGAAGGACTTGGGACAAGGGATAGAGGGACAGGACACAAGGGGGAATGGAAGGGGCAACACTAGATGGGATATTGGGGAGAAATTCCTTCCTGTGAGGGTGCTGAGGCACTGGCACAGGGTGCCCAGAGAGGATGTGGCTGCTCTATCCCTGGGAGTGTTCCAGGCCAGGCTGGATGGGGCTTGGAGCAACCTGGGCTGGTGGAAGGTATCCCTGCCCATGGAACTGGATGATCTTTAAGGTCCTTCCAACCCAAACCAGTCTGGGATTCTATGAGACTTGAAACACCTTCTAAACTTGGCTCTAACAGGGTAAGAGCAAGACAAGAATGTTACTGAAACAGGAAAACAGACAGCAAGTTTCACTTGCTTCAGAACAGAAAAGCTCAGCTGGAAGGACACATAGTGACCATCCAAGTGAGGCCTGAGCACCTCAGGGCCAACCACAGCTCAGGGCAGGGCTGAGGAGAAGCTGAATGAGTTGTTTAGGACTTGGACACATTTCCTACTTGTTTTGCTGTGAAAATAACTTGTTCTCACATTTTAAAGTGGCTCTTTTAAACAGGACCTGTTCCATGAGCTCTGGTTCCTACAAAACACATCAGGATAAAGGTTATCATCTCCCTACAGGTGGGTGTGGTGAAGCCTGAGCTCACAGCTCTACCACAGCTTTCTGCTGCTCCCAAAACCACTTCCAAAGTGATTTCCATCAGTTTTGCTACCTGGAAAACACTTCAGAATGAGATTCTATCATCTCCCTACAGGTGAGTGTGGTGAAGTCTCACAGAGAAGTCACCTCACAGCTCTGCTCCTGTTTTTTGTTACTCTTAAAGTCATTTAAAAAGTGATTTCCAACTGCTTATTGTTACCTGGAAAACACTTCAGAATAAGAGTTTACCATCTCCCTACAGGTGACTGTGGTAAAGCCTCACAGAGGAGTCACCTCACAGCTCTGCCACTGGTTTTTGCTACTCAAAACCCACTTATAAAGTCATTTCCAACTGCTTTTGTTACCTCCTATTTAATCCCAGAATGGCTCAGCTTGGAAGGGACCACAGTGTGTGACCCGCTCCGACTTCCCCACTCAACTCTTCATCGCTTCCCAGTTCGGTGAGATAAAATAAACCTCTCTCTGACATCTCCCCTCGCCCTCACCTTATCGGCCGTGCTAGGCGCAGGCTTGAGCTTCCCTTTAGCCATCAACATGGCGTTAATCTTCGCCG